TCCTATCAGCTACCCTGGACTGCTTGGCCCCATCAGTCATTCCAAGGGGCACTTGGGTGGCAGCTGAGATTTAGAGGATATTCTGCCTTTGAGCAAACCAGGAAGATTCGAGAAACCTTTCCGTCCCACCAGGTGAATCTGGTGGGCTTCTTAGGAGACCATTAAAAAAAAACAAAACCCCTTTCTTTGAGATGCTGAATTGCGAAACAAAAGTGAGTGCAGGAACGTGAGGTTAGGAGGAAGGTTGGACAGAAACGAAAAAGTCACCTGCGAGTGATGCAGCAGAGGCAAAAATTCTGCACATGTTCCATCATGGGCTTGCTGTTGTAACTCTAGCATCTCTAAACTTTCTCTTGCTTTGAAAAGAATGAATCTTAGGAATGACGTGAGAGCAGCATTCCAATCTCTCAGGGGCTGCCCCAAAGAAAAGGGAGTCAAGCTATTCTCCAAAGCCCCCTGAAGACAGGACAAGAAGCAACGGGTGGAAACTAATCAAGGAGAGGAGCAATTTAGATCTAAGGAGGAATTTCCTGGTGGTGAGAACAGATAATCAGTGGAACAACTTGCCTCCAGAGGTTGTGAATGCTCCAACACTGGAAGTTTTTAAAAAGATGTTGGATAACCATTTTGTCTGAAGTGGTGTAGGGTTTCCTGCCTAGGCAAGGGGTTGGAGTAGAAGACCTCCAAGGTCCACTTCCAACTCAACTCTTCTCTTCTCCTCTCTTCTCTCCTCTCCTCTATTCTATTCTTTCCAATATTTATTCTATTCTATTCTATTCTATTCTATTCTATTCTATTCTATTCTATTCTATTCTTTCCTATTCTATTCTATTCTATTCTATTCTATTCTTTTCTATTCTATTCTATTCTATTCTATTCTATTCTAATTCTAATTCTAATTCTAATTCTTTCTAATAATTCTAATTCTATTCACATTACTGCTATGGAGTTTGTACATTCCTCAACATTGGCAGCTCTATCATCTCCTATATTCATCAGCATCTCCATAGAATGTAGCCTATACTCTTTATTTCTATCGAAAAATAGCCCACCTCGTCCCTTAGGCTCTTATTCAGATCACTCCTCCTTCCAGGACCCCCCAACTTCACTCAGCTCCAACAAAAATCCACATTCAGCTTCCTCAGCAAATTATCCTTCCTTCTATATACTTTGTGCTCCATTGTTTCCCCCCCCCCCCCCCACCTCACAGTGGTATCTTCTCTGCAGGAATTGAGTTGTAACAGTTTTGGAGATGAGACCTTCTTACGTCACCTTGGAAAACACCACACATTTGAAACAGCACCCCAATAAGTCCCTGGAACAACCGCGCAGATTCTGGGACCATTTTCCAGATCCGATAAAAGTTGTGCTACCTCTCCTCCACTCTTTGAGACCAATGGCATCCCTTATGGGATGCTCTCAACCAGCTCAATCAGCAACCACCGTGCCCCCATGCCATGCAGCCTTTCCCCCATGCCTAGTTTGTTACTTACAATTGCCACATACGCGGCCTTCGTGCCAGTCCGGAACCGGGTCAGCCCAGCAGCTCCTGCCCCTGGCTACATATTCGCTTCCCGTCTTGGCAAAACCGCCCATTTGGGGACCATAGTAAATGCCCTGGGCGCCCAGTCCATTGAATCCCCCAACATGGGAGTAGCCCGACAGGAGGCTGTTGTTTGGAGGAGCCACCGGTCTGCTGAGGATGTCGCTGATGCCGTGCGGTGTGCCAGACGCCAACTGGGCGCTGAGCCCAGGGGGACCGAGCTTGTAAAAGGAGTTTTGCACAGAATACTGGCACATGGGGGCTTTCACTTCCGGGAATGGGGACAGAGGAGGGCCGTTCAGGAGAAATGTCCCCTGCAGGTTGGAGTCCATAGTTCGACCGCTCGCTGGCAAAGAAGGCGCCTACTACCGAGGACGGCCACTTCTACGCTTCCCAAGGCGTTTGGCTCGTTGGCAATGCCATCCCTGGACCCTAGGGATGTCCACCTGCTGCTCTTTGTGGAAAGTTCTTTTGCTGGGATCCAGACAGGTGAGACCCTGGAACTGAACTGCTGACCGAGGCAACAGGGACCCAAGTCCATGAGTTTCCTGCAAATCCCGAAACCAAGACTGGCTGACTGGCCACCACACTGAACTTCAGAGGAAGCTTCCTTTTCTCTGATAAAGGACTGAGCTGATTAGAATACCGGCCCTCTGATAGGTTGAGGTCTTGGCTTTCCCCATTTCTCATTGGGCTTCGTTTGAGTGCGGGACCTGGATTGGCTGCTCTGAGATAAATTGCCCTTTGAGAGCTCCACGGTCAACACCAGAACCTTAACACATGGCTAATAATGCTGGCGGGAGGGAGGAGGAAAGGATAGAGGAGGCTGCCTTCTGCTTTGGGGGAGGTATGATGGAAGGAGTGAGAGAGTAGAGAGGCAGAGAAAGAGAGAGGAGGGGAGAAAAGGAAGGAAGGAAGGAAGGAAGGAAGGAAGGAAGGAAGGAAGGAAGGAAGGAAGGAAGGAAGGAA